TATACACACACATACACGCACACACAGATATATATATATAGATATACATATATATATATATATACATATACATACATATATCTATATATATATATTTATACATACATACATACCTACATACATACGTACGTACGTACGTACGTACATACATACATACATACATACATACATACATACATACAGACATACATACATACATACATACATACATACATACACACACACACACAGACAGACACACAGACAGACAGACACAGACAGACACACACACACACACACACACATACATACATAGATATATATATATATATATATATATATATATATATATATATATATATATATATATATATTATCGATTAAATAAAAATTGCATTAGAGATTAGCGAAAAAATAATTTAATTAAATTTATCTCATAAAAATTACTCAACAATTTATTTTATTTATAAATTTAAAATTTAAAATTTATTTTAATTGATAATAAAATATTATCTAATTTGACTAGGAAAAATCTGACAACAAAAATATGTTTTTATTTTAGAAAATCTATAAATACATAAATGTACTGGGACAAAAGTGTTGGACATGAGTTCAATCCCCTTTTCGATATTCATTAATATTATTTTTCAGGTTTTGATAACCTCCCTTTTCGAAGAATTTCTATTTTATTTGAGTCTAGAAATAATTTGTAAGGATGACAAATATTTTTGCTTAAACAAATTAAATTTTGAGGGATAAATTATTGTTAATTGAATCGGTTTAAAAATAAACTTTTCTCTGTCTAAAAATAATTTATTAGGTCAGTTACAAAAAGGTGTGTCAAAATTTCTTGAAATAATTTTGTGGATGAGAAAAATGTAATTTAAATATATTTTGTGTACATCGTTTGACACAAAAAATATTTTTGGGACTTATTTCAACACGAAAAATACATTCCACAATTCAAAAATTGAATTTGAATTATTCTTGTTTGATTATGGAGCCTCTTATCCCTGATAACTTGTCTCAAACAAGCTAATCACTCCAATTTGTACTCTCCACTCACACACATGCCTTAGGTCCTTCACATTTGGCCATTACTCGTCAGAGGATCAATCCTCCGCTATGAATCGATCATCCGTGTGCAGAGTGATCCGCCAGTAGATCAATCCACCTAACAGGATCAATCACTTTTATTCACGAAAATTGATCGGAGGATCATTCTAGGGGGTAGGATCAATCCCCCGTGGTTTTGACCAAAATCTTTACCAATTTTTTTTAACTCTTGGTGATCGAAAATTATTTTGAGAGCTAGAAATATTTTTGTTGAGTGTTAAAGATATTGTCATCCACAGAGCTTTCATTTTAAACACTTTTTGCTCAATTGTGTGAGCTTTCATTGTTGTGTTGTAAAACTCATATTGTTTGAGTTTGGTTGTTGCTAAGACTTGTGAGATTCAAGTCTTGTTGTGAGTTCTAAGATTTGTTTGATTCACGTCTTGTTTTAAGAAGTTGAGGCTTGTGTGACTCAAGCTCTCGAATTTTAACCGGGTTTTTCAAGGACCCGTTGAAGCTTGAAGTATAGTAGGACCTTTGAGAGAGTCTCTCGGAGGACTGGACTAGCCACGAGGTGGTGAACCAGTATATTTCGCGATGTTCTTCTTTCCCTTACTCTTTACATATTTCCTGCAACTTTTATTTTGTTTATACACACACGCAAAAATGTTCATTCTAAAAAGCAACTCTATTCACCCCCCTCTAGAGTAGCACATTTTGTCTAACAACTGGTATCGAAGCAGGAAGTTCTTTGAATAGATCTTATTTTTCAGGACCTCAAAGATGAAATGGCTTCTAGAATGTTCAACGCAGGAGTTAATGAGGGACAATCCACAACGAGGCCACCACTGTTCGATGGAACAAACTATTCTTATTGGAAGGAAATGATAAGAATGTTCATCCAATCCAATGACTACAAGCTATGGTTAATTGTGAAGAACGGATGTGGAGTTCCGATGAAGAAAGTCGGTGAAGTCAACGTCCCCACAACCGAAGAGGAGTCCAACAATGAGGACTGCAAGAAAATGGAGCTCAACGCCAAGGCAATAAACATGATTTATTGCGGTGTTAACACCGATGACTACCGCAAGATTTCGCGATGTGAAACTGAAAAACAAATGTGGGAGAAGTTGGAGGTCACCTACGAAGGAACCGTGCAGCTTCGGGAGGCCAAAATCGACCAACTCACCCACGAGTACGAGCTCTTCTCGATGAAGGAAAACGAGAAGATAGAGGATATGTTTGAGAGATTCTCCAACATCATTATGTTAGGATATGGTCCCAACGCTAGAGGGGGGGAGGTGAATAGCATTTAAATGAAAAGTCGCAGGAATAAAAAATTTAAGAGCGTGACAAGCGTAAAGGGAGCACACCAAGATTTACACTGGTTCACCACAACATGTGGCTACGTGATAAGTTGGTTTTGGGTTAGTATTTTTTCTTTATTTTTTGGCATTTTTAATATTTTTAGATTATAATTTTTAGTTGTTTAGCTTAGTTTTCTTTTAATTCTCATTTTTACAATCTTTTAATTTTCTTTTAAAAATAGTAGTTTTTTTAATCATTTTTTTCATTTTTTAATTTTTTAATTTATTTTTCCTAATCCAAGTTATCAAATATCTTATTTTTTGGAGAAAAATATAGCAAAAGACCAAATCGAAGTTCAAGTTTAAAAAGAAGAGATAGAATTTGGGCCGGAGCCCAACCCCACCAACATATAGAAAAAGACCAAGCCACATTTCTCTTCCCCAATTGGATCTCACGCACGGAATAACGGAGAATGGAAGTTCATCGACTCCTTCTTCAGCGATAGAAGTAACGCCATCTCCAACGGCTCTTCTCCAACGTTCGCCAAAATCAATGCTCCAACGGAAGAATTTGGCTCCTCCATTCTATAAATTGAAGCTTCACAAGATGGGAAAAAGGGGGGGAAACACACGAGGAGCAACGACAAGAGAGCCGCGGCCTAGCCGCGGCGGCGGACGGCCGGCAAACGCGAACCGGAGGTGGCAAAAGCTCCGGAGAGTGGTGGGCAGTCTTCTCCAAGCTCCAATTTCTTCAATTTCATCTTCTTCTTCATCAATTGGTAACCCTATATGTTATTTCTTCAAATTTTTCTCCAATTCTATGTAAAAGTGTTGTTTTTAGTTTAATTTTTACATTTTTGTTTGTTTGTTTGTGATAATTTTAAAAATTCCAAAATGGTTGGTGTTCTTTTATGGATTTTTTATTTGTTTATATTAAATCCCTTATGAATGAGAATTGAGTCACACTGGTTTTTTTCAATTATTGCACAAGTTGATGTTGAATTGGTTGAATTGTTAATTCAATTTCATAAGTAGGTTGGTATGTGGAATTCGGTTTTTGTTGAAGCTATTTTAGCTCCATAAGATAGTTAAATGAACTCCGAATTCATA